TTAGTGTTTTAATTCAATTTGTTTCTGATGTTTTTTTTTTTATAATTTATTTTAATTTTATGATTTTATTATTAATGTTTAGTAAGTGTTGGCTTGTGTTCGTCTCACTGATCTGAGAACAATATGAACGCAGCAGCCAATGAAAACAGCAGCGGCGCGAGGATCGATGGTTTCTGATGTCAAACGTTCTCTCGTGTAGATGGTGAAGGTCTCTCGCGGGACGTCCCGAGCCAGACGCAGATGACGCTCATCTACCAATCAGCGGCCTGGATTCTGGCGGGAATCCTGCTGGCTGTGGTCATCTTCCTCCTGGTGGCCATCCTGGTGAACCGCAGGAAGAACTGGGTTCAGATGTCCTGCTACGGCGCGCCCAAGAAGGTGAGCGACTCAGAACCTGCGACCCAAGAACTATCGATGTCATAAGATTGAAGGAATGCATCGTCTGCCAAGAGTCTCAGAAGAAGAGAATGCATCATGAAATAAATTATTGCAGCATATGAGTATCATATATCAACATAATTACAAAAAACACTCTAGCAAAACAAGCGCTTTCGATGTCGACATGAACTTCATTTGCAGCCCTTTTTAACAGTCATGCGACGCATTTCTGAGCAAAACTATTTAATGAGAAAAAACAATCGTTTTTTTAGTGTAGCATCAGTGATGATACAGTTAGAGCAGGAATATCAATTAAAAAATAGTCTGTTTTGATTTCATGTTGACTTTTTAAGGTTTTCATATATTTTATAAATACATATTAAGGTTTTAATATATTTTTATATTTTTTGCACTCCCCCTCAAATCACTATTTTATTTTTATTTATTTTTGCACAGCCCAAAAATCTAGTTTTTTTGCACTCCTCAACAAATCTTTTTTTTTTTTTGCATTCTTCAACATATTTTTTTGCACTCTCCAACAAATCATTTTTTTTAATTAATTTTTGCACTCCCCAACAAATTGTTTATTTATTTTATTATTTGCACTCCCCCACAAATTTTTTTTTTTTGCGCTTTAAAAAAATAATTTTTCTTTTTTTTCTTTTTTGCACTCAAGAAATAATTTTTTTGCATTCTTCAACATTTTTTTGCACTCCCCAACAAATCATTTATTTTATTTTTTGCACTCCACAACAAATAATTTTTCTTTCATTTTTTTTTTTTTTTGCATTCTCCAAATCACTTTTTATTTTTTGCACTCTCCAACAAATACTTTTTTTTATTTATTTTTAGCACTTTCCCCCAAAAAAATTTGTTTTAATTTATTTTTTGCACTCTCCAAAATCATTTATTTATTTTTTGCACTCTCCAAAATCATTTATTTACTTTTTGCACTCTCCAAAATCATTTATTTATTTTTTGCACTCTCCAAAATCATTTATTTACTTTTTGCACTCTCCAAAATCATTTATTTATTTTTTGCACTCTCCAAAATCATTTATTTACTTTTTGCACTCTCCAAAATCATTTATTTATTTTTTGCACTCTCCAAAATCATTTATTTATTTTATTGCACTCCCCCACTGATACATTTTTTTAATTTTTTGCGCTTTCCAAAAAAACATTTTTCTTTTATTAATTTTTTTGCACTCTCCTAAATAATAATTTACTTTTTTATTTGTTTCTTTTTTTGCACTCCCCCACAAATCGTTTTTTTTTTTTTTAGCACTTTCCAAAAAAATATATATTTTTTTTTTTATAATTTTTTTGCACTCTCCAACAAATGATTTATTTTTGTTATTTGCTTATTTTTGCACTCCCCAATAAGGTCACCCTGATCATCCTAGAATGATTCTTTCCAAATAGAGCTATTCCAGTCATCTGGTGAAAACTCTATATTTTGCGGGAATGATGTATTTCTCTCCTGTTTGTCCGGCAGACGGTGATCCTGCAGAAACACGTGAATAAGAGTTCGCTCGTTTACATGGAGCCGTCCAGAGAGAACCAGTTCCAGAGTCTGAAGAGCGACGGCTCCGTGAGCTTCCCGACAGACGCCAGCAAAGAGCAGATCTCTATCCCTCGCGCTAAACTCGCCAGCGGACACGTCGAGCGCTAGCGTCCGTCTCACTCTTCAGAGGCCAGAAACTCCACCGAACGCTGGCGACTCCTGGAGCTTCGGCCTCCAGCGCAAGAACAACCAAGTACTGTGAACCGCTCGACATCTCCCGCTTTATTAGTGTTTGTATGATGTTCGGAGCGTCCGACACTTTGACAGACGTGGAGCAGTTCGGCGTCGTTCCATGATGGAGAATCAAACCAAACGTTCAGGAACCAGACGGATCTTCTGACTGCTCACAGACATTGGTGAGATCCATACGGACCACAGTAAAGAGATCTGCATCATATTCTGAGGCCTTACGGCACAGACGTGTTTCCGGACCTCTCCAGTCTGTTTTTCGTTTCTATACGTTAAAGTGTTTTACTTGTAGTTTGTTGTTAGTCGCTTATAAGCCTCGTGACGGACTAAACATTCCCCACGTTCAGAACCAACTCGACTTTTTATATCTTTTTTTTAATGTAATATATAGATATATGGTAGACATATAAATATAAGATGTATTATATATATATATATATATATATATATATATAAATACAAGTTATGGATGGAAAGGACATTCCTGTGTATATGGCCATCAATTTCATGTATTTATATTTTATATTCATATATTAAAATACATTTCTAGATTAAAAAATAATTAGATATGTATAATGTAATTTATGGATGGGTGTGTATATATATATATATATTTTATATTTCTATATTAAAATATAAATATATGTGAAATATATATATATATATGTGTGTGTCTGAGCCGCTCGCAGGGCAATTACAGCGAATGCAGTCGTTTGATAAATGTACAAAAACCATAAAAATAGTAGAGGAATGTATCTTATTTATTTTTTCACATTTATTTATTAATACTAAACTCTAGCGAGTGACTGATTTCTGTCTGGTCTGTGAAGTTGCAGAGAAACCCAAAGCTGCTGTACAGATTTTATAAACCGTCTGTCTGCTTTATATCGGCTCTTATTTATTTGACGTTTGTCATGAGTCAGAATGATCCAATAGATGTTCGGCTGTAACATGTACACTTGTTTTTGAAATAAAAATGAATTGTGTGAATGTTTGTTAACTAATTATTGTGTTCGGGTCGTTTTGACCTGGTGAGGATTTTCTTTTTCCTGAAAATGCTAATGTTATCAGATTGGACTAAAACAAAGGCTATAACAACTTACCCCGAAAATAATTTGTGTATTTCTGGGGGATTTAAAAACCGCTCAGATCCCACAGCTGATTTAGATTAGATTTAGATTTTCTCCAGTTCTAGACTTTCAGCATGTTGTCAAGAGATTTCAGAAATTAAGAATAAAATATTAAACCACTAGGTTACATGGAAGCTTGATTCCGCCAAAAAAAACCAGCAAACTCATTTTGAGAAAAAAAAAAAAAATTTTGAGAGAGAAAAAAAAAGATAGATAGACTGTATAAACTCAACAATTTGAGATATACATTTGTAATGCATTTGAAAAAGTCAGAATTGTGAGAGAATTTGTAATTCCATTTTGTATTTATTTAGTAGAAAAAAATATATAAAAATCTGAATTCCCGGGAAGTAAACCCAGAATAATGAAGAAAAAAGTCAGAATTATAATTCTATAATTATAGTATATTAATTGTTATAAAAAAAAAATTCTGTGAAATAAATGTTGCAATTTCCATTTTTTATGAAATGTAAATTTTAAGAAAAACTGTCAATGTAAATTTTTGAGATGTAAACTCAAATTGCAAACTCGCAATTGTAAAAAAAAAAGAAAAAAGAATTGAGATCAAAAGTTGCGGTTACCTTCGTTTTTCTTTTTTTTATTTCATGGTGGAAACAAACTTCCAGAATTGTATTTTCTAACTTAAGAAAATAAGTTAAGAATATATTGTATTCTTTAAAAAAAAATCTTTTTTTTTCTTAAAACTGTGTGAAGACAAAATTCAGAATGTTGTATAAATCTGTGAATGAAATATGAACAAACCTTCAGAATATAGAGAGGAATAAAACTGTAATGTTTGGTGTTTGTAAGAGAAAAACTCTAAAGATATGGATTGAGATTGAAATCTACAGACGCGAATAGATAAAGTGAAATAAACTGTATTTTGGATGTTTTTCGTCCACTAGACTGAGAGAAGACGTGATATTTACATTTAGTCATTTAGCAGACGCTTTTATCCAAAGCGACTTACAAATGAGGACAATAAAAGCAGTCAAAACTAACAAAAGAGCAACAATATATAAGTGCAGATGACAAGTCTCGGTTAGCAACATTTACACACACACACACACACACACACAAAGAAAAACAAGTAGAAAAAATTGAAAGCTAGTGTTTGTTTTTTTTAAATAAAAAAAGAAGATAAATATAGATAAAGTAGAATTAAAATAGAATAGAGAGTGTTAGAGTTAGAGGGTCAAATAAAGATGGAACAGATGTGTATTTAGTCGTTTCTTGAAGATGGTTAAGGACTCAGCTCCTCGGATTGATTTGGGCAGGTCATTCAACCAGGAGGGAACAGTTAATGAAAAAGT